TCGGTACCACTTTGTAATGTAGCCATTTTCTGACAGGTGAATTTGTACGTTCAAAAATGGAAGCCATTTTTCTTTCGGCTCTTCTCGGGTGAACTTGATATACTCTGACTGTGCGTTTAACAATTCGAAGCATTTGTCCATTTCCTCTTGTGTTGAGCAAAGGACAAAGCAGTCGTCTACATACCTACAGTAGAGTTAGTTATCAGTTAGATGTGGAGNTAACGAAAAAGCATCTTGAAGATGCTTCGCTTTATCGCCCATCATCTGAGGAGGAATTCAAAAGTAAATACCGAAAACTAAACCACGAATGGGCCAAAATGGCAAGAACTGCTGGTTTGAAACCATCAGTTATTTCTCAACTTAAAGTTGCCTTACCAACATGCCCCGTCTTGTACTTACTTATAAAAACTCATAAGTTAGTATCCAGCGATGATCTTGCGTCTACCGATCCATCACTATTTAAGGTTAGACCTATCATTAGCTGTGTAGACGGGCCAACGGACAGGATAACATGGTTTTTAACCCTAATATTTAACCAGTTGTTGAAACACATTCCAGCCCAGCCCACGCATAGGACCCAGAGACATAACGGGCACGACTTCGAAGTATGTGTCACGATCCTCGCACGCGAATCGAGAACACAGGCGCGAAAAACCCTCGAGGCACTCTGGATTAATTCCAGAAATCCGAAAATGAACCGCAGAGAAGAATGCCTCATTATCACGCGTGATATAGGGCAGTATATAAAACTGCTTTTCTGATGTGAGGGGCACATTATACTTCCACGTGATTTCTGTGCGGTTGGTCTCTACGTGACATACTTAGTGGAAACGTCATAGAAAGCGGTGAGTGTGCAAACCTGTGTTCAAAGTGATTGAAATCTTGGTTTGGAGTTTCTTTGTTTGGTTATGGAGGCGTCTGGACGAGTGAGTTGCTATCAACTTGACCTTTCCAGGTTCTGAAGAAGGCGAAATCCGCCTAAACGTCAGCTTAATCGTGAACAAAGAATAGTAACACCTCGCGTTTGCTCAACAAAAATACGAAGAAAATCACTTGATCAATGCCGAGGTTAATAGAAAGTCGGTCGTGGCAGTTAAAAGAGCTATTTTAGCACCACGTATGCGAGCTCGCCAGTAAATTATGGGCGCAAATCGGTGTTCCTTCTACGGTGAAGTAAAAGGCGTAATTGTTACGGTATGGGGTGCCACTATTTGTCCCGTAACGGCGGTCCCAAAACAGTGTTTTTTCTTCCCAAATCTCTAACACTGTCTCTCATTTAATATTCTACTAGCACTAAATTTTTAAAGTGCTGCATATCGAAGTGACCGATAAGAAGTGTAAGTGAAAAGAAATTGAAAGACAAAATTGTGAAAGCTTGGAAGATACCGTATTCGGGTTTAACGATGCCTTTGTCGCGCAGGTACTGTCTTGCTTTAGCCTCGAGTTCTGCCATCCGTTGTTCCATTCTGTCAAAGTAGACGTTGGACGTGTTTGTCATCTGTAAAATTATAGAAGAAATAATTGATCGCCCTATTCGACGATTAATGTGTAGAAGTCCTGAGTTTGACTGCGACAGCCAAATGGATGGTAGATTTTAGCACCAAAGTTAAATGACGGTCGGTTTCAAAATCAAAGTTATACAGAATAATGCTTTCTGCCTAAAGTTATTAGTCCTCGTGTTAAAATTCTAGGAGCAACGGAGTTAGCAAAACTTGAGAAACATGTTCGATTACAACTTTAGAACAGAGATACTAATATGTACACCAATCCAATGACACTTAAGAAATTTTCCTTGTTGTAAAATAAAAAAATGTGGTTAGTCTCCGAGTAAAAAGAGAAGGGTTCTGCCAGACTAGGCCCTTCAAGGTGATTCCTGCGTACTAAATTTACCTAGTATAGTTGAAGCGAAACATTCAATAGCTCCACTTTATTCAATACTGGTGAAGTAGGCAACCATGGCATACGCTTCATATTTCATCTCTTTCATCTGCATTGTCATAATTCTGCTGATAAAAACATTCTCGTCAAAAGTAAAATCACAGTTTTAACATTTCAGCATCCTGCAAACACAAACTCACTGCCTTGTGCTATTCCTTGCTGCGCAGATTATATCCAGATGAAATTTGAAAGAAAAAGCTCCTATAATCATCTAGAAAGAAAGGAAGACCTTAAAAGCGCTTGTCGTGCAAAGATAGAGCGACCGAAGTGATAATCGCCAGTGTCGACAAAGCAGCTCTTTCACGCGCATTCTACTATTTTCACAGTAAAAGAGGCCCCAAATAACAACATCACTTCGCCAAAGGTCTTTATCGCGATATCGAATTGGGCAATGAATTCGCTGCAATGGGACGAAAAGAGAATATTCATTGATGGTAAACTTCCACCTAACTTTCGCACTTCTGACAACATCGCCATCTCCTCGAGAAGCTACTGGAACAGAAAACGTTGGTCAAAATTCTTAACGAAGCGGTAGAAGTAGAGAGCTGCATATAAACCGATGGAGAACTCAGTCCATGAAAAGTCTGTGGCGCGATTGCAAAAGTTTATAAATGGGTTGCTCTTCGATTAGAGAAACCATATCCTACCATACGTGTATCCATGACATTGCTGAGTACGGAACGTAACAAGAAGTAATCAAGCAGGAAAAAGAGAGGAGTATGATCTCTGAATGAAATCTTGATTTTGGTGATCCGATGCGATCCAAGAAATAATTCATGGCCGAGAGTGAATAAATCCTTTCATTGGTTTGAAATGACAAGCATAGCACGATCAGAGAGATCATGCAAGCGCTCATTATCAAACCATCCACCTTTGTGATTTTGATTCCTTCTTCAGGCGCAACAGAAATCCTCTCTGAAGGGAATAGTTATCTGCGATAAGTGTATAATATGAACACTGAGTCTTATGTAAAAACAATGAAAGAAGAGAACATTAGATCCGTAAGATCCTTAACTTCAGTGAAAGTCAAAGTATTGGGAAAATGATTGTGTTTCACGAAGAGACGATGGTCCAAAAAAGATATGAGTTCAATTTTTCGGGAAAAGAAAACTGAAAACTCGGCTATGGGGCCTTGTTTTGCCCACTTTATTCATCAAACCTTGCGGGCTTTGTTTAGCATCGGCTCAGAACTCCACAAAACAGTTAAAGCGATATCAATACAAATTTCACTTCTTTGGGAGATTGCAAAAATAACGTGGATCAGTTCCTTGTCAGAAAATTCCAGAAATTCCAATCAATGAAGAGATAACTAGTTTTTAGAAGGACAACTGATGTTCTAAAACAAAAGGCGAACGCAAAATGTACAAATTTCGTTCTAAAATAAACTGCCCATGTGAAACATTCAAAAAAAAGTGCGACGAACTTCTGCATCAGACCAGGGTATGCTCCTGAAAGAGCGTGTTTCTTGACTACTACCAACGACTCCTTAGCAACTCGATGGCTTAAGCAGATAACAACTGGAAAGCGTATAGGTCTTTCCTCATAGATCTAAGTGCATACATAATCACCAGAGAATATTATTTGAGTTGAAATATGCTTAAAAGTTTAGTCTGCAAATAATTGAGGAATAAATTCAGAACTAGCTACATTCTAGTGAAGCGCTGCAGCTGCAAGAATCGTCGATCTACTTGAAGAAACCGGAGTCATTCTGGACAAAATCCAACTGGTTCCACAAATTCTTTTGTTTGAAAACGAAACTCTCTCCAAAAAAAGTTTGCAGAAGACATACCTTTCTGTAGGTAGAATATCTAGATCGGCCACGTTTTACTACGTTATTACACCACATTGTGTTGCATTCACACGCGAACTCATTCCTTGATAAATAATCCTCTCCGTAGTCAAAGAACAACTAAATAAATATTTTAACCGCAACGTCTCCAACAAAATGTAAGTATTCTATTAAAAATAAATGAGTGAACTGGCTATAAGTTCTCTGTTGCAATCTAATAACATATATTACTTTGTTTAACGCTTTGTTTTCTGCCTTCTACAATTTTCAGGGCAGGTTACTAAACGAAATACAACCACAACGTTGCTGAGATAATTGCAAAACTCTGGACCGCAGGTGTCTATGGTGGGGAACGAACGCGCTATTATCCTTTCCGAGGAGTAACGCGTTCACCACTACACCATGCGGGTCCTTCGTTTCGCCTGTCTCTCAGATTTCTAACGATCTTTTTGCCACAGCAATCACCCGCCAGCGGGGTTGATCTGGCTGAGAGACAGGCGAAGCGAAGGATCCGCATGGTGTGGCGGTGAACGCGTTACTCCCCGGAAAGGATAATAGCGCGTTCGTTCCCCACCATAGACACCTGTGCTCCAGAGTTTTGCAAATATCTCAGCAACGTTGTGGATATATCACTTTGTTAACTTTTTATTTGCTGCCTACTACCATTTTTCACGGCAGGGTGTTATGTGAATGTTTGCAAAACTGGAGACCGCAGGTGAGGATTTGTGCTCCCCAGACCAGCTCCGTTGACGGGAGACTGCTGATAGCAACTCCCAAGTCCGACTTTCTATTAACCTCGGCATTAATTGAATATATCTTTCTACTTCTGTTCAACAAGCACGAGGTGCTATTTTATTTCTTTATTTACGCACAAGCTGACGTTTCGGCGGATTTCGCCTTCCTCAGAGCCTGGAAGGGTTAACTTGACAGCAATCCACTCGGCCAAACACCTCCATAACCAAACAGAGAAAACGCTAAACCAAGATTTCAATCACATTTAACACAGCTCTGCATACTCACCGCTTTCTGTGAGTCTTCCACTGAGCATGTAGTGTGAGGACCGACCGCACAGAATTCACATAAAAATGTAATGTGCTCCTCCCATCAGAATAACAGGTTTATATACTGTCTAATATCGCGCGTGATAACGAGGCATTCCTCCCTGCGGTTCATTTTCGGATTCCTGCAATTATTCCAGAATGCCTCTAGAGTTTTGCGCGCTTGTGTTCTCGATTCTTGCGCGAGGATCGTAACCCTTACTTCAAAATCTTCTCTGTTATGTCTCTGCGTCCTGTGCGTGCATAGTGGAACATTTGGCTTACATGTGACGACTAGGTGTTCTTTTATACGTACGCAGAGTTGTCTACCCGTTTCGCCAACGTATTCGTCCCCGCACGCTTTACAAGAGATCAGATAAACTGTACCCGAACTCATGCAGTCACCGTCTCTACCATTGGGACAAATTATGCAATTTTGCGTTGCACATAAACGGTCGTATAGGCGGTTACGAACTAGCTGGCGCCTTAGATTACTCGGTGGTATTTCGATTATCGTTACCGAATTAGCACTGGTAAATAGAACTACTTGAGAGAGAGCCGAAACAAAGGACCCGCACGATGTGATGATGAACGCGTTAACTCACGGGAAGGGTAACAGCGTGTTCGATCCTCACCGCAGATATCTACGGTTCGGAGTTTTTCAAATATCTCGGCATCATAATAGTTGTCATTTTGTGACAGATAGGCGCCCATTGCACACTGGTAGTGATGCTGTCCAGCACACGCACTGCTTTTCCTCAATATTGCCTCCGATCAATTAGCCTTTCTCTCCCAAGAATTGCGAAATTTGTACTAGGCTTCTCTCCGGTAGATGTGGTCACTCAAACGCGCAAAAATTGGGCACTGTTTGTGACAAAGATTCAGGGACGCTTCAGCACGGCTATTCCATAAAAAGAATTCTATAAAAAACCGACTCCATCAGCATTCAACGACGTTTATACAGAGGAATAAAAATCTTCAAAGAGCACCCGAATCCAATGTAAAATCCGGAGACCTTCGTAAAATATGGATGTAAGAAAACGAGTCGAATACAATATGTGAAATAGACTGCACAATATGTGATGTAGAGGTCTGGAAAATAAATACTCCAAAAAGGCTCAAAAATTGAGCAAGGGCGATAGATATGAACTGCAGAAAGAAACGTTAAGACTTCTAACAAGGAAAACCTCATTCTATTACGTCAACATTTTGCAAATCCTGCAGTAGTCTTCGAGAGAACAAGAGTGTTACACACGATGTGCTCTTGTAATTTCGTCATTAACGTGCTTTCAATCTATGGCGAGTGAGAAACTGAGAAAGCCGTACTGTAGCAGTGTCTGCGCAAAAAAGAAAAGAGCTGGAAAACAAACACTAACTCATGAAACCAGTGAAACATAAGAATTCGAAGGTAAAGAATGAGAGTGGAAATCATTAGTAACTGCAATCTCTTCGACGAAAAGACACATTCGCAGTCATATAGGGGCAAAACAAATATGTTGTCTCAACAGTCTCGGTTTCGAAACTGGACAAGCTTGCTGGCCAAAGAATCATAGAGCAGCTCACATCAAGAAGGTTGCATTCATATATCCAAAAAAACCACCACTGGTCTTCACAGACACATAGACATGGCTTTAACACGTTACTTATAGGGATGAACGATCTTTATACAATTGGAAGCAACCTCAATCGCGCTTTGAATAAGAAAGACATATCGCGGACGCGTTACCTAACGTCTGTCATCGGAGCACAAAGTCAGTGAAACTCGGAGAAATTCGAAGTTTGCACCACGCCACCAACCAATTACCAAAGAAGATAAACAGATCAAAAATTCCGAAAAATAAAGTAGGAACGATGTCGAGCCACCAATAAAAGGCGCTAACAATGAAACACTTTAGATATCAAGTGCACAGTTGGTAGAAGGCCAATCCAGTGGTCGCACCGCTTTACGAAAGTTCCAGACGAAAAATGATACTCTATGCGCAACTTACGCAAGAGGGCATTCTGGAGCGCAGTGAGAGCGACAGATGAATACAAGGCGTTACCTTGAGTCGCTCGTTTATTGTCTGAAAATGTAGGCTCCACTTTAGATATAGTAGATATTCTTAAAACATATCGGTAGAGGACGGTTAAATGGTCTTTTACAGCGGGTCCATATCAAATGCTGTGAGGAATCCAGCACTTGAATTCAGTTAATTTCTTCATATCCATCAATTTTGGTTTTTGGGATGTTGCATCTAAGATTGGTTGCTACTTCAGAATTTGTGGTTTTCCATATGAGTTCCGTTGAATGCTAGTCTAATTGATTGTTTGTCGAATCTTGGGAGGGCCGTGCTAGCGAGGGCGCCATCTGAAATACATGCAAGCTGCATTTTTCATGAATTTGAGGAAGCTAAGTGATCCTAGAAGGCTCTGGCACCAATTTGCCGATCCTGAAGGGATGAGAAGTTCAGTGAATCCGGTGAGCAGTCGAACTTTGCACATCCTGAATGAAACTGCCACCACTGCACTTTCGCCCTTGGTATGATGAATTAAGCTTTTAAATGTTTTAAAACAACAGGAAACGGAACAACACCAACGTCAAAAACACTTAATGGAAATCCAAAAGCAAAACTGCCATTAGTGATTAAATGCGCAAGATAAAAAGGAATCTTTTCATGTCACTGAAATAGGCGCTGTTGAGGTGGGTATCGTCTAAATTAATAAAGCAATCAACTGTCAAATGCTCTTGTCATTCCGATGTTATCTAGATTTCATTTCAAAGAGTGACTCGTTACTGGTATGAATCGACGTTAGAATGCAAAGTGATTTCTCATTCACAATCACACTACCATCAAATTTGATGCCTTTTGAAACTGATAATCGACAATACACCGGCGAACAAACACCTTCCTATAAGTGCATACCTCTGAACCGCCGACAATCGGTTGATTAGCGAAAAGAATCGCATGTGACCGATGAAGACGAAGGTCATTTTCAGCATACCTATAAAAGAAAATAGGATGTATTGAGCAGACAATCTTACTGAAATAACACATCAAAATGTGGAGCTTTTACCAAATAGTTGTGGAAGAAGCAATACCGACCAGAGAATACTTTGCCAAGAAACTTAGATTTTTCTGTGCCATGATTGTGATCTTGTGATGATCGAAGTAAGAATGATACAAAGTGTATTCGCTGAATATTGTTGTTAGAAGCCAAAACAGCGCCATGAGCAAAGAAGTTGATCCTGAGGAAGCCCAAAGTATAGGACCGTTCGTATATGTCCATCGTCAAATATTACGTTTTCTGCAAATTGATGTCGGACTTATAGCTCCGTTTTCCTTCTACGCGTTTTACCACTTTTTTTCCTGTGCTATTATATATAACTACAAACTCGTTTTCTACACCTTTGACCCGTATAATTAAATCACAATAGAAATTCTTTTTGGAAAATTTTAAAGGTTGGAATTTGAGATGTTACAACAGAGATTTGAACAAATTCAATTCGATGATCTAAACTCGGAAAGAATCATGCAGTTCAAACAGCTCCAAACAATGATGGGCCTATACCCAAGGACGTGTTATGGGAGACAGTGCAAATTTCCTTTGGAAAATTTCGTTATGGCGAATTCGATCTTCAAGAAGATGGAGTTCACGGACGTCCTTTTGGTTTTGCCGTCCATGCATTTAAGACTTCCATGGAGGCAAATACACCAACAACTCTTTGACTAAAAACTCGAAAAAGCTCGAAAAATGGATACCCCTCAAATTAGCTTAAAGGAAATCGCCGTCTCTAGGTATCATCGGAGCTCCTTCTGCGGAACTACAACGGCCCTCTTCCTGATCGTATTGTGATGGATGGATCCTGCATGACAATCGTCGACGATGGTTGGACTGCGATGAAGCTTAGCAGTACTTCCCAAAGCTAATATTGTACTGAAAGAAAGTCATGGCTAGCGTTTGGTGGTCTGCAGATGGTTTAGTACTCCGCAGCCAACTGAATCGTGGTGAAACGACTACACCGGAGATACACATTCAGGAGACAGACGAAATGTGACACAAACGTGAATGGCTGCGCCCAGATTAGAAGAAAGGGACTAGTTCTTCCCCATGATAACGCATGGGTATACGCCGCACTGCCTACGCTCAACAAAGCTAGAAGGAGTTGGGAAACTCTGCCTCACCCACCATCCTCGCAGCCCTCTCGTTCACCGACTATCGCTCCTTCGGACCCGTCGATAGCATTCTGCTTGAGAAATCCTTCAGAAACCAAGTCCAGACCTGAAGTGCCTTCAATGACTTCGCTGCCTCCAGAACTCCAGCGTTTTAAGCACCGAAATGCGTAAACTTGTTTTCGTTGGCAAAAATGTGTAGACTCTAACGGTCCTCATTCCCATTATTAAATTTATTCTGAAATCAGATGTGCAACCTTAAACAGGTTGACATACGTCATCAATTTCCTAGAGACCTAATAGAATCGCATAATCAAGTGTGACAAGTATCATTAGCAAAGTTTGGCTTTCAAGGTTATCGTGAAGTCTCAAAAATGAGAAGTACTTATGTCAACTATTTTTGTATAAATTTCACATACGACTTTTGATCGACGGCAGAAGTCCGAATCATTACGGATCTATTTCCGTTATTCTTACTTTGGAAATTTTTACTTTGAAATTGATGCATCGCTTTCGCAGTGATAAAATGCAAAATAGTAACGGTGTATTTACGAATTACTATTTCAGTAGTAAACTGAAAACTTGTAGCGAGCTGTTACCATTCATCCTATCTGAGATCGAAAGCTGGATCTCTGTGAACTACCATTCAGTTCAGTAGGCAAACTAATTCAGAGAAAACTGGAACGTTTTTCATTACAGTAACCGCACTTCAGATCTGCTAGCATAACAGTTAAATATCTTCGAAATTTTGTCTTTCCAAAAGTGTAGGACAGTAGACCCGAAAAAGTGAGGTATTCGCCGTCATAGTTACTATTCGCTTTTAATGATCGTCACCTCGATTTTCTCACGAGATAATATCATAGCTATCCATAATTTCCATAAGGCTCACATAGCCCAACTACTCAGCATTCTGTTAAGCATGAATGAGGAGCCTGGTTTCAATGTATAAGAAGCATATATAAGATAAATTACAATAACAGAGGTTCTCCTCTCAATGTTAGAAGTGGAAGTCTCTAAGTGAAGTCTGATGGAAATCACCTCACAATGTTAACTCAAAGTTGCTAACAAATAGATGTTCCTGTTGTAATAAAGTTCTTTCTTTGACCATCGCCTTATTTTGCTCACATGCGAATTCTGCTAAGGTCCCTTCGAAAACGAACAATTCGTACACAACATAATGTCCAGAAGAAATGAGCACTAAGTAGCGTGAAACCAAGCATGCAAATGGTGCCAAACCAAATCCTTAAGAGTGTAAAACTAGAAGTGCCAGAGTTCAAGTCACAGCTTCATAAACTAACCAGACCGAAATTTCAGTGGGATTCAAAACTATCTTAGGACTAGAACAACTGATTAGATTTGGTGTGATGTTATTAAAACAACGAAATTGTTGTCAACTACACGGCCGAACTTCATCACAGGCATCCTGACAATTACCACACTGCTGTTGGTGTTTCACAGGTGGAACGAATATAGTGGACATGAGAATGATTATCTTTATATTTACTGTCCATGGTTTTTTCACAGCAGAGTATTATGTGACACACAGCCCCAGCGATGTTGAGATATTTGCAAAACTCAGACGGCAGGCCAGATTCGAACTCGTGATCACCCCTCCCGGAGGCTGAGAGAAAGGCAGAACGAGGGCTTCGGTGGGGCAGTGGGTAACACCTGAGCAGCCGCATTGGGAAGCAGCGGATTCGTATTTGGTCTAGCGCCCGAGTTTTGCAAATATGTCAGCATCGTTATAGCTATAGTGGGCATTGCTAAGATGCAGTACGAAAGAAGGAGCTATTAACTTTCGATCTACTCAGCAATCGTTAAGTTATAATGGCAAAAACGAGGATGTCGGAAAACTTTTGAGGCCAGAAACATTCTTTTCACGTACCTTAACACGGTTAAGTTAGGGAAACAGCCATGAGAAATGAAGCGTGCGATATTTCCTTTTCTATACTGATCGATGTAAACCATTTCGTTCCATTTGTCAAAAGCATCGTGCTGTAAAGTGGAAACGCTGAAGTTGAAAAAAGAGAAATAAACAGTTAAGCAAAAAGAAAGAATAACACCTTATCTAAACAAATCATGAAAAAATTGGGACCATCTTTTAGTCGTGCTATGCAGTAGCATAGATTTGAACCCAAATACAAGCTTGTAACCTTTACAAACACAACGAATAGAACAATTCTTTTCACTTCTGTTCAGCAAAGACGAGGTGTTACTTCATTTCTTTATTTACGTACAAGCTGACGTTTCGGCGGATTTTGCCTTCCTCAGAGCCTGGGAAGGTCAAGTTGACTACAATCTACACGGCCAAACACCTCCATAACCAAACAGAGAAAATGCTGAACCAAAATTTCAATCACACTGAACACAGAGTCTTTGCACAACCACCGCTTTCTATGAGTCCTCCAATAGATNCAAGTTGACTACAATCTACACGGCCAAACACCTCCATAACCAAACAGAGAAAATGCTGAACCAAAATTTCAATCACACTGAACACAGAGTCTTTGCACAACCACCGCTTTCTATGAGTCCTCCAATAGATAAATCACGTGGAGACCAACCCGCACATCGTTCACACGGAATCGTATTGTGCCCATCTCATCAAAATAACAGGCTTATATACTGCCCAACATCACGCGTGATAATGAAGCATTCCTCCCTGGGGTTCATTTTCGGATTCTTGGAATTAATCCAGAATGCTTCTAGAATTTTACGCGCTTGTGTTCTCGATTCTTGCGCGAGGATCGTAACCCATGCTTTAAAATCTTTCCCGTTAGGTCTCTGCGTCCTATGCGTACCTAGTGGAGTATTTGGTTTACGTGTATGTGTTCTTTTATACGTACGCAGAGTGGTCTACCCGTTTCGCCAGTGTGTTCGTCCCCGCAGGCTTTACAAGAAATCAGATAGACTGTACCCGAACTCATGCAGTCACCGTGTCTACCATTGGGGCAAATTATGCAATTTTGCGTTGCACATAGACGGTCGTATAGGCGGTTACGAACTAGCTGGAGTCTTAGATTACTAGGTAGTATTTCAATTATCGTTACCGAATTCTCTAGACCGCTCCTTCTTAAACACCGTTTTATAGGTGCACTTACTTCATTTGGAATGAAGAGCAGTATAAACGGGATCTTATTGTCGCTAGAGTTATGGTTGGGGTACCTGTGGTTTTCTCTACACCTAACTCGAGCTACAGTTTCGTAACCATTAAAAATGACTATTTGCCGCGCCAAGTTCCGGAACTCCTCTCTCTGCTGCCTTCCTGTGCAACACACTGGTAGCTGTTCGAAACATGTTTCTCACAAGCGCCCTTTTCGTGTGAGAGGGGTGAGAGGGGTGAGAGGAGAGGAAGGCGAAATCCGCCGAAACGTCAGTTTGAACGTAAATAAATAAAGAAATAAAGTAACACCTCGTGTTTGCTGAACAGAAGTAGAAAGAATTATTCAATCAATGCCAAGGTTAATAGAAAGTCGGGCTTGGTAGTTACTACAACGAATAGACTCTTTATCTGCAATGACTGTTACTTGAAAGCGTCAATTTTCTAGCATCTTATTTTCTCTAATTCAATGAAACACTAGACTGTAGTATATCACTTTCGCCTAAAAATTTTCTAAGCAAATGGTCCCTTCGATAGTAGTTAGTCATCATGCTAATTCTTTCAAAGTTAGCGATCAGCATGGCAAGCTAGTGCAGAAAACCACTGATCCCATCAGGTAATTGCAGCGAGAAGCAAACTGTTAATGTAAGATAAACTCTCCTCTCTCCTAGTCTAATTTATGCCTTCGTATGGAGAATAGGAAATCTTGGCCGATGAATGGTACAATATCGAAAGCAGAAAAACTACCGATGTGATACAAAAAGTTTTTTAAAGTAGGATTACAAAGCATAAGATACAAACCCTGGTATAATCAAGCCTCAGCCAACCAAGCCTAACTTGTCTTCGGGTTTCAGAAGTTGATATCACATGTGTCTAAAAAACTCCATGTGTGAGGAAGACCTGTTAACTCCTGGTACGTCTATCTCAGGAATTCAAGGAGAATCAAATGGAGCGGTATTCAACGAAATTCATGGAGAACACCAAAATTCTGACATAACAACCGAGCCGCACGTGAAGTAGGATATCATTGTGGATGATGAATGTAGATAGCGAAAATGCCGAGTCAGGCAGAATTTGACTAAAATTATCAAAAATTTTACGAGTAAAGCAGATACAGATATGTATTGTACCACAATGATTCCTTTTCTGGACGACTATTATCAGGCATTATTCTATAGCCGCGCTTAGTTTGTCGGGAGTGAAGGGTAGATTGAACGAAACTTTATTTTCACTAGGCTTACTATTTGTAAGCGTAGCTTTTAACCTAAAGTAGTTCAGAGAAGCTACTGTTTTTATGGATTAGAGCGCACTATTAACCGAGTTAATTTGGCTGATTCCTTCCTCTTCCCCCTTCGTGTGCAAATACTGGTGGGTGTTGGAAGCATGCGTGTATCACATGTTACCTCTTTAAGTGTGGAGCACGAGAAGAGGAGCAATAATTCAGAATGTTTTTGCTAATTAGCACTCAGCAGCACTTTGTAATCTAGGTATTTCTGCACAAGTTAGTTCGAGCATTCATAAATGAAAGTGAGTTAAATTTTGCCTTCGTCGGACGAAATTTTGGTTCTCTGACACTTCCTCCAATAATTCAAAACATCTGTCTGTCTCTTATTTTACGGAGCAGATAAAACGATGATCCTTCTTCCTCCTCCTAGTGATTTACCGCCCTACCGTGGACGGCGGCGTTCCTGAGTGTCGGGCTACGATGTAGGGCGGATGATTTTTTAGCTAGCTGTGTCTACCAAGGCAATATCGGGAATCACCGCCGTCTTAATATCAAAACACTCGAAACGTAACAAATCTCTCTCTGATTCACAACAGTCGGCGGCTGCCTGTGGTATTGACGAGCTAAGGAAGATTTCCGCCAGGCCGACCTCGGAACCACAGTGGATCAACCACTAAAGCTCCAGTCTTAGTACCTCACACAATGAGCGCTTCCGCTTACTACGTTGCACCGTGAAATAACAGGTGAGAGGAGATCAATTCTTGGGTTGCACAGGATGTTGAAACTGGGCGAAACGAAGACGCCCACAACGCACCATGGACACTGCAAACATGGACAACGACGTGAAAAAAGAATTAGAAGGAAAAGAGCAGCATGAGCTGTATTCGCAACACTCACAGACGCCAGAGACCAACTAGCGGATCCAAAGCTCCTCGCTCACCTTTACACCCAACAGTCCTCTTAGTGTTCTGCTATGCCGCGAAAACGTGGGCTGATGTGTAAACGACGTTGAGAATAGTACGTACCACTTCCAGATTGCTTCACGGATGTAACCAGAAGTTTAACTGGCACTCATAATGTCTAACCATAATGCACAACTCAGGTCTTTAAAATCCATGGGTTGTTCACATGATAAGAATGAGCGGCAGATGAGCGAATAGAACAGCACAGGGAATTCCAAGAGAATGAAAGCGTCCTCTTGGAAGACAATTCAATTGGCGGGCGGACGTATTCACGGTCTACTTTAACCACCTGCAGCTGATGATGGAAGCGATTTCAAAAAATGTGCTCCATGGACGTCACCACCTTCAAAGCAGATCACCACCATGGACGACGATTGCACAAGGAGGAAACAAATGGCAAATGTGCTGGTGGCGACCGCATTAGTTGTGAAAATCTGCCAACAAAGTATTAAAAAGTAGTGGTCGGAACCTAAGTGTTTCCGCTTTTATACGCTGCTTTATCTCCATCCCTTTCATTTTCGTGTAATATTTTCCTTTTAAGAGAACGATGAGCTCCTGAATCGAAGAGCGATATGTGACTAATACTCGTTCGTGTTGGATGAGTTGGTGGTTCGCTTGCACTGCGGAGACATTTAGGTTCAGAGGTTTTTTGCTAATGATGTGAAAGTGTATTATTTCTTGATAAGCTTGCACGAGGTTGATAAATAGATTTATTTTCGGCTAACGTTTCGACGTCTTCGTCTTCCTCAGAGCCGGTGATCCGAGTCGATGGTCCATGCTTGATGTGAAAGTGGTTGGGTGAATAGATTGAATATCAGTGTCACCTAGTACCCGCTCTGAAGGGGACGCCGAAACGATAGGCAGTTTGGAATAAACATTTCTTTCACAACCTCGTGTTTTCAAAGAAAAAGACTTGTTTTTCAAAAAAAAAGACATTTATTTCACAATTCATATTTTCAAGTTCTACCTAAAGCTGCGGCAAAGCAAACAAAAACATTTTAATGTTTAACGTTTTGTTTTCTGCCTTCTATAATTTTCATGGCAGGTTACTAAGCGAAATGCAACCACAACGTTGCTGAGATATTTGCGAAACTCTGGACCGCAGGTGTCTATGGTGGGGAACGAACGCGATATTGTCCTTTCCGGGGAGTAACGAGTTCACCACCACACCATGCGGGTCCTTCGTTTCGCCTGTCTCTCAGCTATTTCTAAAAACATTTTATTTCGTTGCCGCATCTAGATTGGACTTGCCTGTAGACCAAAAGTGTTAAAAAAATCCACAATTCTCGCTAACGCCTTATGACAGCTACCAAACGTCTAACACTACTTTATGGATCCTTTTTCAGGGAATATCTAACTGAGAAAACGGCGGTGTAAACTCTACCATCCGGAACCAAACATAGGTAAAACTGAACTTTGAGCCGTGCTATCGATACTTTTTCGATAGTGTTATTAATGATCTTCCATTCCTCCACCGAATATACTTGAGTGACATGATGTGATCGAACAGCTTCCCAAATTTGTTCACTGGCGTAATGCCCCAAAACGGGATGGTGTATAAAAAGTACTCCAACTTCTTTAATGCGCCAGAGGTAGTGGGTCATCTGTTCCTGTCCTGAGGAAGAACCGGTGAACTGCTTTCGCCTCTTCAACAGAGTTCATTTCCCATAACCGCTGACCACCAACCACTTTCCCACATCCATATCTCTTGGTCTCTCCTACAAGCATGTTTTAAATTCCAGGCATAAATAATTAACAGGAATTTATTAGCTCCATGAAATGGATGAGAACCTATCGATACGAACCAGACTAATTACCATTGAAGATCAAGTCCCATGAACTGCTACACTTTCACCATTCACCGCTATTTTGCATAGCGTTTTCATTATCAGCTTCCGATTCATTGTTTACAGACCCTTTGGGAAGCAGAGGACTCCTCATTGCCATCAATATCTTAATTTCTTTCCTCTTTAACTCCATCAGCCGTCAACCAAAACAAAGTTCCTACTTTTCTCGAACATAGCGAACCTATAGTTATGAAAATTGTTCTTCTGTCGAAACGAATCAGGCCTATGAAGTGCGAGTTCTGAGCAGTTATCGACTGCTTTTTTCCCCAATCGCTATTATGAGTCGTAGTTCTTTTATACCAACGATATAAGCGAAAATACTTCTAAAATATCAAAATTATAGATTCTTCGAGAACTGACATAAGATTTGCAACTTAATTCTCTTTGTAATTTTTCAGCAGTATTTTTTCGATTCTTCAAAAGGAGAAAGGATAAAACTCTCCGCATTGATTAAATCGTGAAGGATGGGCCGTGCATTCGACTTCATTAAGAGTAAAGTTGATTGAAAGTGATTTAACGCATATGTAGCTTTTACATTGACTCGCAGTGGCCCACCGATGCATCGAGGCAGTGCTGTTATCCTCCGAGAAAAGTCTGGTACCAATTTGCCGACCCCGGACAGATGCTAGGCTTGGTGGAACATGGGCGCGGGGATCGATTCCACGTCTGTTGCAGGGCGCATCCGGCCACTGCGTCACACGCTGTACACAACAAAATTCTGTAAGTGTAGCTACTTATTGAGCAGAGTTTGAGTAGCTTGAGATCGTATTTGCATTTCTCGTTTCGGATATACTGGCGAAAGACGGCTTTACCATTACTGCCGCAATTCCTATTGAGAAACTCGATTATTGGTATAATCTTGACCTGCTATGTTGGTAACGCGTTAGGTAAAACGCGTGTTAGTGAACAGGCTCTCTAATTAATCCGTCCTCATAGTACGGAATGCAATAATATGACACTCAAGAGATCCTACAGAATCCCAATAATCCTCAGTTGTAACAGCCCAACAATTTCCATGCTAAGGCATATCCCGATGAATTCCCTGATCTCGTTCTCTTGTTGGTTTTGTTCGCACTAATATCCTTGGTGAGCGAGCGCAGTGGTTAGTGATGAAGTCTATCAAAAAGCAAGGTGCTGGTTCGACCTTCTATGCAACACTATCCATCAATCTACGTGGGAACACCTTAGCCCAGCTTTCTCCAAGATTTCAAGGAGAATTGACTCCAGCAACAATCTATGACATTCATTAAAAAAAGAACGAAATCCTCAATTAGCAGCCGAGACGAGCCGCCAAGCGTTCGACGACCTCTGTGGCCTATGAATGCGAGAATAACGAATCGAATGCAAACAGTGGTGAGATCCACACACTAGATATGGTAATGGTTCATATAAAATGATTAAATAATAATATGTAAACCTTTACAGCGACAAAGCACGATTTTTTCCACCACTTCGCAAACCCTTCAATTCGTCAAGTTATCGAATAACTATCGATCATTATCGAAAAACTAACACTATTCATTATGTGATGCGTTTACATGGAATTACGCGTCGTCCTACGCGATAAGTATGCAAAATTGAGCGTCGAGGGTTACGCGTTAAAGAAGTTTGAAGAAAAACGTGTTGTGAAGCATCTTACTTCATTACTAAATATTATTTTAATACGATATTACACAAATACTCTTCAAACCAATCAAATTGAATGTGCAGACCTGCATTTGCCTCGCAAATGCCAATTTCTCGTAGATTTGCGTCTCTTCAGCTTGATGTAGACAAAAAGAATAATCTAGCGAGCGTGATCCTCTTAAACCCATATCTCTACCCTGCAATATATTTAGCCTAAACACAGAAAAAATAACAGCTGAAATACAAGTTTAAAAAGGGAACCAACTAACATTAAGCACTTCACCACAGAACTCAACTACAGCGCAACCTAAAAAAAGTACCACTCTTCTATAATTCCACTTATTGACGAATAATAAAATCTTAGCACAGCTCAACACTGGTATTCCGACTATTGAGGCAAATTTTTTGAAGACCGTTTCTCTTGAGAAAATAAAAACGTCTTTTCAATTGTGAAAATAGAGTTCTCAAAACAAAAAGCGACGAACTACAAGCACGACGCATCGGGGATCAAAGTCGTGACCGCTGTTAGACAAAATCCAGTTTGCTACCTCGTTTTGCTCAAGAGACAACCCACAAAAAAGAACGAGAAAATTGCCTTTTTAGGCTCCAAAAAACTGAAATCCCATTGTTCTAGAACTTGCCTCTTGCTGTAGAAGACACGCAAGTTCTACTAATTTGCTTTCAATCCTTAAGTCCACTATGAGTTGAGAAATGTTTGCTCCACGTTGAAACGTGGTCAACGAAAGTTCAAATCAATTCATATTGGCCATTACGTGTTGAACAACATACCACTGCTATGCTCAGCAGTACTTATCATAACAGAGGTAAAGCAAGAGTGATAGTGGTGCAGTGGGTAACACGCGAGCCCACATCTCAGCATCATTGTGGTTGTGTATCTCAAAATAATTCGCAAAACTCACGTACCATAAGGTATGTTGCTTAGAGTTCGCAGACCAAACCCTAGTTTATCGTTCCTTCTAAAAACTTCGAACCTGAAAAAAAAGTCGAAAATCTGAAATATACAGTAGTTTGAGGTGGAAAATAGAACGGTTTGGCTTATGGATGTAGTTCGACGGTCACTTCCTTTTCTATAATAACACTCTTTGCAAATTGATTTCGTGCACAGAAGCATGAGTGATATATAACACATATTCTCAAGAGTTTGTTAAACAAAATTCGCATGTCAACGTACTTAAATGGAGCAGGAAGGCATTTACTCCTTAAGGTGTTTTTGCATTGCGCCATACAAGCACACCTTTCGCCACAACCAACTATTAACGTATTGTGAAAAGTGGCATCCGTGTTAATAATCACCCGTCCGTCGCCCTATAACATTAGAAAATTGAATACTGAAGTAATATTAATGAAAAAGACGTATTAAAAAGAGAAATACTTATAAAATATGGCTACCAGCAGAGTGCATGGATTGAGGAGGTCATTCATCTGGCGACAGGAACAGTTTACAAAACACACCATGTTACGGCAATCACATCTCACCTAGAAATCCAGTAATTCGTTGCGTACCAAACAGCATTCGAGGTATTTTCAAGCAACAAAGGTGCGAATGTTAGTCGTTGCTTACTTCTACACTTTCTTTTACATGGAACACGTAGCGATGTACAGAGAAAATACCACAAAGCCCGTTGCTGACGACAGCTGTACTGAGATTCTTCCTTTCTGTGGGTATTTCTAACCATATGAACCGGATAGAATAATGTGGCACGAGGAGAAATATGCGCGTCTTTATATACCACTGTTTTCGAAAAGTGTACTTCGTTACAGTGGCACTGAATTGTACAAAATAATGCACTTCATTCTGCCATCGTTCACTCGTATCATCGGTATATTAATGCTGCCCGAACTAACAGTTTTTAAAGGAATATATAGTTACTGGTGTTAATTGTTGCCACGACTTTTGCGGTTCTTAGGACCTACCACAGACATTGCCAGCGCTGGCCCACAAGGATCACGAAGTTCCCATGGGGTTTTTTCTCAGCAACAGGGTACAATTAATTATGAAATTTCGCAGATTGTGTTTTGGGCAATATAGATATGAAGAGATGGCTAGATAGAAAAACACGACAGTACTCACTTCAAGCCAGACATCTTTATAGCCGTGTGCGCTCATGGTAATGAAGTGATGAACTTAGCACAACATAGTGTATTTAAAAAGTATGGAATTTAAAGATGATTAACCAACTTTACGTACCATAGCAATGCCTTCAGTATCTTGTAAAGAACACCGCCCTCTGTAATTTGAGTAATCATTCTTAGATATGTAAGTGAACTCCACCGGAGGATCATAATTTTCAGTGTCCGAGTAAACCTCCACAGGAAACGTTTCTTGCCCTTGCGACAGATCACTGCAAGAAAAGTGGAACAGCAGTTTTTGCTACCAAGGCAAGAAAATTGTACAGTTTACGTGTAGTAAAATGTTGTATAGCACATTAGAATTCAGCAGATGATGCACGTACGCAGCAGGAACGGGAAGTGTTCTCGTTCCCAAATTTCATTACAGGTGTCTATGGGATGGTTTCCTCTCTTTCATTTGAGTAAAGTCCTAACCTAGTTTTCTCTCTCATTTGTAAGCTAACCAATAAGAACACAAGGTTTATAAATGAAGGAAACTGCGGATTCTAGCGATCATCGAACTTAATCCTAGCTAAACCCAATTTTGCTTTGAATATATGGTATGCATTGTAAATTCGTCAAATATGTCATAGCTCTGGCTGTGATGTCAATGTCACTTGTCTAGTCAAAAGTCTAGTTAATAACAATAGAATTCCAGGTTAAAATCTTCAGCAAAAGTAAAAGAAAAATCAAAAATTTCTAGGAACTCACCAAGACAAGCGATGACGGCTAATGGGACCATTTCGAAAAGGGTTATAGATAAACTCTTGAAAGGTGCTATTATCAGAAGCGATGTTTTCATGGTCATATCTACTGCGAGATTTTAGTCCAGGAAATAACTGCTTCAGCATTTCTTCCACTCGGACTGATCCTGCAAAAAAACTCATGAGATCACATATTAAACAGTAGCGGAATCTGACATGAGAGAAATGTCCTTACGATTTTCTCTTATCATATCGTTCAAAGCGGGAGGAAAGGCAATAAGCCAAGCACGCCTCCTCTTCCGATAGAGCTTTGAAGCTGCGCAAGCCTACAAGGTGAAATAGGATTTCTTAATCATACTCACGTAATCCAAAAGTATGTAATATGCCTCTTAATAATTCAAGACCGACCTTCTATGAACCTCGTCATAAATAGTTGATAAATCTGCTTATTTATATGGCCTTATAAACTGATAATGTCCGGGTGATGAGAGGTTGGTAAAGTTTTCGTCGTTGTTGTTGACGTCGTTATCATTATTGTAAGTGTTGTTGGTCGATGGCCGACGTTTCGGCTATATCGCCTTCCTCGGAGCTTTGCTGTTGTTCGCCTTCCTAGTCCCACTCGTAACAGCTTTGAGGTAGGCGAAATCGCCGAAACGTCAGCCATCGACCAACAACACCAACAACAATGACAAAGATGACATCAACAACAATAACAACAACGACAGGAACAACAACAACAACGAAAACTTGTACCAACCTGGCACCATCTAAACGAGATCAGTTTATAAGATCATATAAATAGGTGTATAATCCGTGACGTTTGTGAATCAGATCAGAAAGATACGTCGCACCTCGACTACCCGATCTTCTTCGTCCCATAGGACACTGTTCCGCCCTGCTGCATTATCCGTACCATAGGTGGCTTCGTTCATCATAGCACCTGAATAATGAATATGCTTTTTTTATAAATGACATGTAAAAAATATTCGAATCATAGCGAAATAACAGTGATCGGTGCATAAGAAAAATGATGGCAGAAGCGGTTGCCTTCCGCTGAAACAAAATGAAATCACTGCTTGGGCGCCAAGTGTCACCACGCGCAATTTCAAATCAGTCACGGACACTGGATAACTCGTCCTCCGATGGACCGTCACCTGTAGGACTTAAGTGACTAAGAACATCACGGAACCACAAAAAAGATCCTTCATCTTCCTATAAGAATAAACGCTACCATTTGATACGTGTAATTTAAATGCTACTATTATACCACCATCCAGCCACATTGTTGTCAGTATTTGGAAGTGTTTCATCGCTTATGTTGAGTCTATTTCTGTTTTCTTTATAATACTTACTCCATACCACTAACACGATTCATCGTAGTGGTTGAAAATGGAATAACAATCAATTACCGCTAAAAAAGTTGAACCACAATTACCCCAATATGTACTCTTTTCTTGACAAGCTTACACGAGGTTGGTAAATGATGTTTATTTTCGGCTAACGTTTCGACGGCTTCGCCTTCATTAGAGCCGATGGATGATCCGAATCGATGGTCCACAATGTGTTCTCGAGGTGGCGTCTTCGTCGCACATCAGGCCAAGTCTTCCTCAATGGAGCATCTCTCTCGAATGAGCTATACTCACTCGGCGATGCCGAAACATAAATACCTCACTTGTCGGTGGTTTGAGCCCTGCGTTCTGGAGTCAGCAGACTTAAAAGATGCTGCAGTACTGCTTTACAGCTTTGGATGCTGAAGTATCGGAAGAAACTCAGCAATAATCGACTGGTTGAAAGCGATAACGAAGAAAGTGGAAATGTGGAGGACAATAAGGTACCTGCTCTTCTTCTAGTCGAAAATGCGGGAAAAAACATGGTGTTCTTTTGCAGTGCGAGGTAAATGGTCCAACAATGTATCGTCTCGCAACGACTGGATCATCGATGAAGGTCAATTGGTGGTGGGTAGGCAATTCTTGCTCTGATGCACAGAGACGACACAGTCATCTGAGGTACTTTTAACCAACATTCGTAGGGTGATTTTTATTGATATGAATAAGTAACCGATACGGAAGATTGAAGCTGAGAAGCGACAAGTATTGCCGAAGCGAAAAGATTCGCCATTTCCTGCGTAAGCTGGGAATTATTAGATTTCTACAGTTATGGTGTTCTATTGTATCTAACGTAATGATAAGAGACAGATTTTAAACCCTGTTGACCAATCTCCATTCTATTGGCAACGTACTGTCCGACCGGAAAGGTAAGTTGTGCAGGATTAGAGCACTAATAGAACTTATGGACAGAAATCGCAGCAGAATATTCAGTTCTAGAAAGTACGTGCTTACTGATGACTCCTTTGTGCCATTTGGACGTAGAGTCGCTTTCCAACAGCATGCTCTACAAAACAGACAAATGCAGTCTCAAATTGCTCAAATTCTGTAGTGGAGGCCGCAACGCAGAACGGTAACGAATTTGCCAAAGATGACAACCACCGAAGACTCAAGAAAACACAATGGAAACCAAAATAGAATCGGAGCGGTATAGGGATGTTGACTTGAGAAAATGAAAAGGGCATAAAGTTCAAAAGTCTAAAATGAACCGCGAGTAAGAGTGCCATATGACCATCCATGATCTCTTGTCGTATCACAAATCGGTTTCTTGATCTGAATCAAGCACGTTTCTCATCCATGTAAGCCTCTATACGGCTGGTCAGCAGTAATAACTGGTGGGCTTATAAAGAACAAAACGCTGAGTGTTTAAGGGAACCTGTTTACTACGCGAATAAACATCTGTGTATTAAACACAACGCGTAGTTGTTTATTTACTTCTTATTATTTTTATAGAAGGGTACTAAGTGAAACACTAGCACAGTGACGCTGAGATATTTTCGCAAAGCTTAGAGGCCAGGCCAATTTCTCAGCATCACCGTGGTTGAATTTCACCTAATACATTGCCATAAATAATAATAGGCTGTAAATAAAAAGTCATGCATTGTGATTTGGATGGATTAAAGCCTCAGCCTAACTGGACTCAACCTAGATTTTTGCTCCCCAGACCATTCCTGTTCATGAGTGATTGCTGATGGAACATTCTGGGTAAAAAACTATGTGAGAGAAAAGTACATCGAGAGCCACATTGGTGGAGTGGGTAAATAACATATGAGTTCCCGTAAACGTTAATGGAGGGCTCGAATCTAGCCTGCGGTGGGAGTTTTGCAAACATTTGTGCATTAAGTTGAATTTGCTGATTTTGTACAAGTGTGAGACTGAGTGGATTGGGTATTAGTTTGATTCTTCCGTGTTCTGAAGTAAGGGAAATCTGCCGAAACGTCAGATATTGTGGATGAATAAATGATCTAGTAACAGCCTCATGTTTGCTCAACAAGAAAACAATGAAACAGGCGCTATTATTACCTCGGTGTGAGTTTTTCCCCCAACTCATCAATAGTGCAGGTGATTGGAAGCTATAAATAAGAAAAAACATTTTAAACACAAGTGAATCGATAGCAGATCTACGTAGATTTCTTCGACCTCCCATTCAGTCGTGCTTGACAAACTCAAGAAAGATCTTGCGACCACATGGAAGATTGTGGAAGAAAGAGCTTGCTGAAATACTTCAAAATGGATGTCTATCCGTGCTATATTAAAAACGCGACTGCTTTCATGTCGTTCACCTCTCATCGAATTGAAGAAAGCAGTACTGCTACGAAGAGAGGCGATGAGTACGGTCTTATATGACAAAATAAAGACACTACGACTGCGAGTGCTTAGTGATATTAATGCCGCTTCGTACGGTTAACGATGTATTCCGACGGTACCCGGACCCACCAAGTCCCTCATCCATCAGGACAGAAAAATTAGTACCAAATTTTTAGAGTTCAGCTAACTTCATCTACCCCAAAAATGAGTAGGCAGACTGTATTAAAGATATAAGGAGGTCCCAGTGCAGTTACTTCGGGTTTCCGGAGAGAATCGACTCTACAAACACTCGCCGAAATTAACATGAAAATCAAAAATTCTCAATCGGCAGAGAAGCTCACGCGCAAATTAGAAGGTCTTCGTAGAATACGGATAAGAGTAAACGAGTCGGATTTAAGGAATGATGGAATACGCACAACGTGTGACGTCAGCTCGTGTAAAAATAAAAAGGCAAACAGTCAGTCCAGTGACTGCCCAATGGTTAAAACAATAAAATAAACAATACATGAAAAATCACTTAATAAATAAAATAAAAAACAAACGAATGGGAGTTTGGTCCTTACTAGAAGTAGGCACGAAAATAAAGGTTTTTGTGCAGATTGTTAATTCTGTGCAGGAGATGTAAATTGCTTATGAGTATCGAAACACTCTGATAAAATCTCGTCGTTGACTTATCATCCTATCATGACGAGAAATATCACAAGGCATAGAACTTCGATGCTGAGGAACAGCAAAGGAGATATTTTTTCGCGTTCCTCACAGGAAACAGTCTATGTGGTTCGTGCAATTTTCGAAAGCAATAGCATCTCCCTAATACGAAGTGTAAAAAGGCCTCATGCGACAAAGAAGACCATTGAAAAAGAAGTGAATTGTGGTCAAAGCATATCGCAGACGTATTTTCCAGTAAAATTTGTGGGTGAGCTATGTAGATGCTTGCGGTGCACACATGTTGATCCCAGGGAGAACAATAATGCTTTTTCATCAGTATCCGGTGTTTCCCCATACCTAGAAAAATTAAGACGGAAAGTGGATGATATCAGTAACGATCAAAAACTTCATGGAAAATCATGCATTGTATGTGCTCTCACAATTAGTTCTATGCAAAGTCTGAGGGTTACCGTTAGCACAATTTTCAAGGCACGTTCCTTTCGCTCTAAAAACCCGAATGGAAGACTATCATATTTGTCTCTAGTTTTTACTCTGTGCTGCAAGCTACAGTCTGTAATAAAACTAGTCTTAAAACGGTAGCTTCCCTTCCTGCTGTGTGCCAAAGTAAGCTCCACTATTTGGTGAAAAGAATGTGTTTGTAATCTGGGTACATACCTTTGTTTGGCTCTACACTTGGCGCTAGTTGATTATTCCAATTATGGATACTTTTACGAAAAGTCTGTACTGGTGGAAAAGGTCTCATGAGACGATTTTGATTTTTTTTCCAACTTTCTACCTAAAACTGTCGTACACGAAAGTAGCCTATATGTTTCTTATTCTCCTATTAGTTTTGTCACTCATTTCCTCCAAGTTTTAATCTGCCGTCATGTCGGGCCAAAATTTTGCCGATGCGCAAACGAAAAGCGAAGGTTCTCTATAATGACGAACTTTCGTCTGCTGTTCGTCCTTGTGACTAGTGTTGTGACAGTGGTTAGAGGTGCCCTTCAAAACACATCAGTCCAATCCCGCACTCTGGCTCACCAAGCCTTCCATGCTTCCGGGTTCGGCAAATTAGTGCCAGAACTGCCTGGAAGGATAGCAACCCTGAGTTGGTGCATCGATAGGTCACCGCGAGTAATTTTATGGGGCAGACATGCATTGAAACGCTTCTAGCGATACTTTGTGAAGTCGGATACATCACACATCCTTCAGGGAGTGAACAATGCCGAGAGTTTTATCCTTTTTATTGTTCACTATTACATCAAAATATTGGTGTGCTTAGCTTGCTGAGATGCATCATGATAATATTTTGTATCTAATAGGTAACACGGGTTTGTTGCAATTCCTTTATTTAGTTATTGTTTCTTCGTCCTTGGCTCTTAAAAGCCGGAATCAATCGAGTAGGATGTCTATAGTGGTTCTTTCTCATGGCGCGACCCTTCAGAGTCGTATCAAACCGAATCTAGTGAAGCGGAAATTCGCAAGAAGAACATATGACATATATGCTGTCATATTCTAAAATTTGTGAGACGTTGCACACTATTTGGTTTTTATCGCTACTCGTTAGTTAACACTCCATCCAGTAGTACTAT